TGTTGTCGGAACTCAGCACTCACCTCCGTCTTTCTACGCATGGCGGTGCCTCGGATGGGCGTTGTATTATGCTGGACTATGTCAATCCCTTCGCCTTTCGCATGACAGCCCCTCTCAAGGAAGGTGCGTTCTGTCTCTCTTTCTGCTCTGTCCAAATGACTTCATGGTTTTGGATGCACCCGTTGCTAGACGTCATCCGGTGTGCATGCGTTGGCCATTCATGACTCCTGTCTAATGCGTATATCCTGCTGAAACCCCCAGGTTAATCAATCGTGGCGCTTTTATAAACTCTGAATTTGCTAAGTACCGGACAGCGTTCCTTTGTTGACCGAGAGGGGGAAGTTGGCGTGTTCAAGTTGAACTTTTGGCGGCCGCAACCGTTTCGGACACGCGTGTGTCAAGAGGTTTTAGATCAGTCAGGTGCAGACACCCTGACCTTGAGATCGAGAGCTTTGAACAAAAAAGGGGGGGCGGCCAGCATTCTTGGGGGAAAGAATTCATCGTGAGCTGTGGACCAGGGGAAGGGGACAATCGTGTGTAGGTAATACAGGATTTCACCGGAGGTAGACGTGGATAATTTCAAAATTGTTGAACTGAAGGTAATAAGTAAGCTGCTTTCATCGTATGATATCTCAGCGAGTAGATAGCAGATGGGTACATACAGTACACCAGACGTGCATTTCATACATCGCTGCCAAAACCGTGCTGAATTCCGCTTTATTAAGGGATAAGATAGGCGAACTCCTTTGAACTCCTTATTAGTAACAGGATGGTTAGGAAATGCATGGTTAAAAGAAGCAAAATTTTAAAAAAATATATGTCAATTAAATGCTCGTAGGGGACGCATCGGAAGAACTCCGAAAGATATGGTCAGACTTATCCTTGTCCTCTGTAATTTCCACGCCTTTGACACTTCTCAATAAGAAGATAGGATCTTTGTTCCGCGTGCTGTGTCTTATATAGCTGTAAAGGACTTTGGGATTAACCATTGCACGGTTTAATGCATCCTGTTTGAAGATTTGCCCATTTCTGTCTCTGCCAAGTAACTCATGTGGATTAATATGTCGGACAGACTGACTAAACTGCCTGTTTGCGCTGGCTCGATTTAATCTCGCGGGGTAACACGTTTTCAGACTATGGTTCCCCCTCTGTTCCACGGCCCCGCGCCATATGATAGCTACTTAAATCGCACTGGTTTTCTTCCATAGGCGATATCGACTCCGTACTGGGCATGTTAAATGCCTACCAACTGCTCCGCGAGGATATGGATAACATTCTGGAACTATCTACATGGAAGGGTCGGCTGAATCCTATGAAGGCAGTGGACTCTAAGGTACTCATCCATGTGATTGATAATGTTTCTGTCTTGCATGGTATTCGTTTCTCCTGCTGTTTCTTTCCTTGCCCTTGTTGTCAACTCTACTCCCTTTTTTGAGTAACGACTGGGTATTTAGCCGTACCTAGCCTTTGGGTAGGCTTACGCCACGCTAACAGTAGGTGATACCGTTAGGATTAAAATCCACCTTAGCGTTGTGGCTAAGGAATTATGGTTAGAAGAATAATTTGAGGTTAGTCTAGGAGTAGCCGTTGGTGTTTTAGGCTATCGTGGTTGTCCACTTCCGTTATATCTGCAGTCGCGGTCTTATCACAGTCACGGTCACATATCCAGTCGTCGTCTGCTTTTGTGAATAGTACAGTCCATATTTCGGTATACTTTAGGGTAATAGCCAGTGCCTTAGCGTGCCTCATTTTGCACGCAATAGATATAAATCATAGCAGTATTCCGACAGGACATTGGACCCTAGAATGGCCACTTCTGGCTCATTAGCCGTCGTCAGCTAGGGGTACCCAACTCAAGTGTTGCAGCTGAAATTGCTGCCACACTCAACTTTCGAGCCCGCGTCTCTCCGGTCAGAGGCAATTGTTCTAGCCATTGAGCCACGAGTCCGCTGTCTTGTCAGTTTTAGATCGAGAGT